GAAAGCCGCGGCCGCTCTGTGCCCCGGGACGCAGCTCCGGTCACTTGACTGCTCGGATCCACGCAGGTAGCGGAGGGGCCCCGGCACCACGTGACCCCTGTGAGTCAACAGGAAACCCGCGTGGGCGTGGGGCGGCCCCGGCCCGCCCCTGGGTGGGTCCCAGCCCCGGCTCCAGGGGCCCCGGTTAACCCCCCCCGCCGGGCCCAGGGTGACCACGCCAGCCCCGGGATCTGCCCCCCCCCCCACGCGCGGCCCCCACGTGACCTGAAATCCCCCCCCCCGGGAATTAACAGCAACTTCCTCCAGCTCAGGGCCACACAGCTGCTGAGGCCGGAGCCGCCGAGCTGCGGCCCTGGGTCAGACAGGCCCCATCTCGCCCCAGATCCCACCATCCCCCGCAGCCCTGCCCCAGCTTTGGGGGAGACCCCGCGTCCCCTCCCAGCTCCTGCCGGTCAGAGGTTTAGGTCGCCCCGAGGCGGCTGCGGCCCTGCCCGTGAACTGGCCCAGTTATACTTTGGGCCTTCACAACATCCCCTGGCGAGGAGTTCCACAGGTTAACCGCGCCTTGCATGGAAACGCACTGCCTCTCGCTTGTAGGAAACCTGCTGCCTGTTCGCTTCATTGGCGACCCCAGGGAAAGGGCAAATAACCCTCCCTAGTCCCTTCCTCCCTTTCACTGCGGCTGGGTCTCTGAAAACACCCAGTGTTCAGCGGCTGTCAAAAAAGGGAACAGAATGCCGGGAATCATTAGGAAAGGGATCGATAAGACAGAAAATGTCATCTTGCCTCTATATAAATCCATGGGATGCCCACACCTTGAATACTGGGTGCAGATGTTGCCCCATCTCAAAAACCATACAGTCGAAAAGGTTCAGAAAGGGGCAACAAAAATGACTAGGGGTATGGAACGGCTTCCGTAGGAGGAGAGATTAATAAAACTGGGACTTCTCTGCTTGGAAAAGAGACGACTCAGGGGGATATGATAGAGGTCTATACAATCGTGACTGGTGTGGAGAAAGTCAAACAGGGAGTGTTATTTACTCATAACACATGAACTAGGGGTCAGCTGATTAAATTAAAAGGCAGCAGGTTTAAAACAAACAAAAGGAAATATTTCACACAACGCACAGTCAACCTGTGGAACTCCTTGCCAGAGGATCTTGTGAAGGCCACGACAATAACAGGGTTCAAAAAGAGCTAGATAATTTCATGGAGGATAGGTTCGTCAATGGCTACTAGCCGGGATGGACAGGGATGGTGGCCCTGGCCTCTGTTTGCCAGAGCTGGGAATGGGTGACGGGGATGGCTCACTTGGTGATTCCCTGCTCTGTTCATCCCCTGTGGGGCCCCTGGCACTGGCCGCGGTAGGAAGACAGGACACTGGGCTGGATGGACCCTTGGTCTGACCCAGTCTGGCCGTTCTGATGTTCTCCCTCCCAGCCTGATTTTCTCGCCCTCTCTCCTATCCCCCCTCAGTCATCTGTCCTGGGACAGGAGCCGTTCCAGCCCCGGGATCACCCTGCTGCTCTGGGCAGTGTAGCAAGGCCCATCTGGGACGGGACCCAAACCGCCCCGGGTGCTGAGCGCTGGGTTCGAAGGGGCTGGGAGCTGGAAGCCAAACCAGACAAATTAGTTACAAATTAGTCCCAGATTGTTAAGGGGAGGGGATTAGGCCCTGGCCCCACCTCCCCGGGGCAGGGGGAGAACCCCATCGCTGGCAGTGCCCCAGCTGTGCCCAGGGCAGACTAGAGGAGAACCTGGGGTCTCTCCGGCCCCTGCACGGCGGTAGAACAGCGTCCACCCCAAATCGATAGTTCACCCAGGCCCTACAGTGAGGCTTTTCCTCACCGCCGGCCCCCCTCCCGGGAGGATCACGTCCAGCCCCTCTAGCCTGGCTGGGGGGCTCTGCTCTGGGACCAGGTGATTCTCCCAGGGCTGAGCGGGGCATGGGGCGCAAGGAGCTGGTTTGCCACGCGGCTGCCAGTGCCTCGTGGGGCTGGGCAGCTGCCCAGGGAACGCGGCTCCTCCGGCGTGGAAGCAGGCGGCCTGCGGGAGCGAGAGCTGGTTTCCCTTGCAAATAGCGCGGTCCGGAGCACGACAGCCTGTGGCAGGTGCAGGAGCCGACAGCGCTGGGGGCTGAATCGCCTGCTCCAGGGAGCCTTTGAGCCGCCACACCGCTGAGCCAGCCAAGTTTAGCCATGTGGGAGGACAGCAGGGGAGCCAGGACTCCTGGGTTCTGTCCCAGGTCTCCACCCGCCTCACTGCGTGACCCTGGGCAGGTCACTGGCTTGTTCTGTGCCTCAGTTTCCCCCCCTGGGGAATGCAGACAATGCCGGGCTGTTGTCGAACTGCCTTGTAAAGTGACTTCATTTTACCCAGGAAAGTCCCTGGGTGCTGGGCTGGCGTCAGCCCGGACAGGACAAACCTTCCTTTATGTCCCCGTTGCAATGGCAGGCCCGGTTCAGTCTCGGAGGGGGGAGAGGCTGTCAGTTAGGGGCAGGACCTTGGTTTTAAATGTCTCCCTCATACCCTTGTGTTTTATGGCCTCCATCAGGGCATTAGAGAGACCATCCCACCCACCACCACGATCAGCCACCAGCAGCGTGTGGTCTGGGCCCTCGGGCCGCGGGCACTCTGCCTGCTGCCCACGGCACGGGCCGGGCGAGGAGCTGGAGCGTGACTTTAGTATCTGTAGTGTGTAGTGCCTAGCGGTCCCACCCGAGACCAGGGCCCCCCATGCCAGGCCCGGCACAAACACGGAGGAGGAGCCAGCCCCTGCCCAGAGAGCCTGACCCCTAACTTGATAGGTCAGGGGATCAGGGCACTGAGGCCCAGAGAGATTTGGTGACTTGCTCACGGTGGGTGCAGAGCTCAGAAATGACCCCAGGTGAGCAGTTAGACCTGGAAACAGCGCCCCCTAGAGGGGAAAGGGCCATGCCCCATTCCCAGCCCCCTCCCCGCCCAGCCAGCCAGGCCCTGCCCTGGGGCTGGATCACCCCCTGGAGAGGTGCGGCCCATCACTCCAGATTAGATAGCAGCAGGGTGAGGTGTATGGAAACTCCTCCCTCCTGCCCTGCCCAGGGACAGCTCAGCGCTGCCAGGTCGGGGAGCCCCAGGGCACGGGCTGCCCGGAGCCAGGACTCCTGGGTTCTATTCCTACCTCTGTGCTCACAGACTAGGTCACCCTGGGCAGGTCCCTTTCCCTCCCTGCACCTCTCTCCCCACCCCCGCTGCTCACCTCTGTACAGCTGGGCCCAGAGGGCAGCCTGCCCACCTCTGCGTCCAGCTCCCGGCACCCCCCGCTCGGGCCTGAGCCAAGGGGCCTGGAGCAGGACACCCCCCCAGCGGGTCCCAGGGGAGCTTGGGGGCAGTGGGGTGCCCAGAGGATGCTGGAGGCTGGGACCTGCATGCCAGGGAAGAAGGGAAGAGCCAGCGGCCCCGGCGAGCTCCCTGCCACCCCACTCCCTGGCAGCTCCCAGCACCCTTGGCTTGGCTCTGCAGGTCTCGCACACGCCAAGGCTGGGCAGCAGGGCAGGGGTCCGGGTACTCCGCTGCGGGGGTGGGGCAGGGGGCCTGGATAGGACAGTTACCTGTTCCATAACTGGCGTTCTTCGCGATGTGTTGTTCCTGTCTATTCCACAGTAGGTGTGCGTGCTCGCCCCGTGCACCGGTGCCGGAAGTTTTTCCCTTAGCAGCATCCGTTGTGGGGGAGCCCCGCTGCGACCCCTGGGGTGACGCTGCCACATCGTGCCATAAAGGGGGCTGCGTGCTCCCCCCACCCTCAGTTCCTTCTTGCCAGACAACTCCGACAGAGGGGAAGGAGGGTGGGACGTGGAATAGACAGGAGCAACACATCTCGAAGAACGCCAGTTACGGAACAGGTAACTGTCCTTTCTTCTTCGAGCGATTGCTCCTGTGTATTCCACAGTAGGGGACTCCAAGCTATGCCTGACGGAGGTGGGTAGGAGTTTTAAGGGTTACCCGGGCGGAGCACCGCCCTACCAAACCCGGCGTCGTCCCGTGCTTGGGAGACGATCGCATAGTGCGATGCAAAAGTGTGGCCAGAGGACCACGGAGCAGCCCTGCAGATGTCCTGAATAGGGACATGAGCCACCTAGGCCGCTGACGAGGCGAGAGCTCGGAGGCAGATCTCACGCTCCTTCTTTGTTCGCGGCTTGAAGGAGCGGCAAATTTTACACTTCTCACTAACGTGAGCCTCGCCCAGACAGCGAAGACACTGAGTGTGTGGATGGCTTCTGGGCATAGAGTTGTGACAAGAGTCGCACGCACGACTTGAAGCCTGGGCCACGGGGCATGCCCCGAGCCCGGCACTAGCGCAAGAAAGTTCAGTGAGACTGGACACCCCTAAGGCTATGAACACTGCAGCCAAGGCTGGAGCACGAAGTTCCGACTACCATCACTGGCGGCAAGAAGGAACTGAGGGTGGGGGGAGCACGCAGCCCCCTTTATGGCGCGATGTGGTGGCGTCACTCCAGGGGTCGCAGCGGGGCTCCCCCACTACGGATGCTGCTAAGGGAAAAACTTCCGGCACCGGTGCATGGGGCGAGCACGCACACCTACTGTGGAATAGACAGGAGCAATCACTCGAAGAGAAGCCGTACTGCCCCGACCCCCCTGACCAGGCAGCGGGAGCAGCTGCCAGGGCCCTGCTGGGGGCCTGGCCCCCGAGCTCACTGCTCATCCAGGGGAAGAGGCCCCTGCCCTGGGCAAAGCGCACCCTGGCTCGAGAGGGAACTGCCCGGCTGGGCGGAGGGGGGAACGTTTCCTGCCCAGCAGGGTTTATACAGCCCGGCTGCTCCTGCCCCCTGCTGGCTCCGGCTGGTAGCATAGCATGGGGCCTGCTGCCGTG